GGGGATGATACAAACTACACAGAACTATTCTGTAGGGTACGGGGATGATACAGAACGCACAGAATAATCCTGTAGGGTACGGGGATGATACAGAACTTTCTGTGCAGATAGGGTATTGTGAATGGACGTCACAGAACTTTCTGTAGGGTACGGGGGATGATACAAACTACACAGAACTATTCTGTGGGGTACGGGGATGATACAAACTACACAGAACTATTCTGTAGGGTACGGGGATGAAACAGAACGCACAGAATAATCCTGTAGGGTACGGGGATGATACAGAACTCGCTGTGCCTCTCTGTAGGGTAATAACAGAGGGTAATTACCCCCGGTATAGGTCTGTGAGTACCCTACAGAACCCGCCCTTGGAATTTTCGTTCCCGCAGCATACAAAAGCATTCGTTGCTTGCCTGTAAGTATCCTCACGTTGTGTTTCTGGAGCACCTTTTATAATAGTACCGTTTCCAGTCTGAAAACGGTCGCGGTATCGTGCACACACGAATTGATGTGATTTCTAGTATTTGTTCTCATGCCAAGCTTGATGTTGACGTTGACGTTGCTTCGTTGTGGGGGTTGCTTCGCAGGAGCCAGGCCGTTATTGGGACGATCAAGAAAGAACAAAAAGAGGCCCCCAAAAATCCCTTCTTGGGGGGTTTCAACAATTTACTGCTTGGCTCAAACCATTCAGCTGGTACCGCATGACACTTTACATATAAAAGCAGGTCGAAGAGTGGTTAGGTCTACTAATGATTTCAGAGTTGACCAAGCTGAAATATATGTTCAGGGATCGGCTACATTTTAGCGAGCGAATGGCAATTAGTTTTCCGTTCTGTGAAACCTCACCACCAACCTTCTCACCACCGCATCAATCACGCTCACCGACTTCCCCGACTCCCTGCGGCCCGAGCCTCAGCCCTAGACACCACTAAATTATTCTCCAACGGTTTCACTATTATGACATCGTAAATATTAAAAATGTTTATCATTTTTTGTTTGAAAGGTACAAAGAAGGCGGAGAGGCCCTCTTCCGTGGGCAGGAGCCGGACCCCCGCATCGAGGTCACCGCGGCGCAGAGGAGAATTACCACGAGGGGGCTCGACATGAAGGGAGGGGGATCGCGGCCCTTGACGCCCGCCGACCTCGACAAGTTTGACGTCATCCTCGGCATTGTGAGTCGTTGTTTGGTACAGGTGGGGATTGTTTGGGGGAGTCTTGGGTGGATACTGTGATTGATAGACGTGACCCTGAACACCAATCTGTTTAGGATTACCTCTCTCTACGGGGATCTTAGGACATCTATCTGCACTAGCGTTCGGACTACGTTGTCTTTGTACTACATAGTTGAGCCCTTCTGTAGCAGGATTATTCCGCCCCTTTGCACCAATAGTCATGCAGGGCTGAAAAGGAGCTGGCCGAACACCCCGCATCGAATTTCGTGACTATGCCTGCGCGAGGGGGCGTCTTCGTGTGAAGGGGATGCTCAGGTTGAATTTTTGCAGGAATGAATGGATGGCCTCACGTTTGTGTGTTTCACCGGGTTGTTCTCTTGTACTCTGCAGCATGCACCGACCGACGCAGAGTGACACTGACCCCTCCTACTCCCGTTGCACCCCTCCTACTCGTGGGTTCGACCGGGCACACCTGCCGTCACCTCGTCTGACCGGTTTTATCACCAGGATGACGACAACGTGGAGGCGATCATGACCGCCGCTAAGCACTGGGGCAAGGGCGATATCGCCGCAAAGAAGACGAGATCGTTGCTCTCCTACGGCACCAAGTACCCCGAGGTTAAGACCATCCCGAACCCCTACTACGCCGGCCGCGAGGTAACTGCCTGCATGTGTTGCGTGTACCCTGACGTTTTTTGCAGCGGTTTTGGTGTCGTAGAACAGGATCTCCGAACATCTCTGTGGGTCGTCGAGCGGATTTTTTTACTTGTACACCGGTTAAGAGAATCGCGTTTCTTTTTTGGAGGACCCCAGACCGTTTGGTTATCTTGAAATGTTCAGGATTTATGACCTTCGTCGTTCAATGGTGGTTTTTGACCCCAATCACGCCAACGTCTGTTAAATTTCAAGTAAGACTGACGTCCTTCTCACCATTACAGAATCTCCGTTCAATATGTTGACGACAGGTCAATCGCACTGGTAAGGCTCTCATGAGGTACTGTATGTTGTTTGTTGGTTATGCTGGATACACAGCGGTGTGTTTCTCGACTCACTCCATGCCATCAATTACTCGCAAATGCCGCATGAACCCGCTCGTGTGGTGCGCCCATGCACTGACCTGCTTATTTCATTGCCGATGATGATCCTCGAATGCTGTTTTAGGGCTTCGAGGTGCTGGTGGACATTATTCAGCATGCCGTCGACAATCTGTTCGAGAAGTGCCTAAGGGGAGAAGCCTTGTCGTATGATTAACGACGTCACCCGTCCATTAGTCTAGGGGGAAGGGGGTGAGGGGGCATCCTTGTCGTGATTGTTCGGGGGGGGTAGATTGGAGGTTCATACCCTAGGTCATCTAAGAGAGAGAAGTGGTCGTGAGTATGGCTATGCTAAGGTTGGTGTTGAGGCATGCCCCGTGTTGATGTCAAGTTTGCTTTTGCAGATAGGCAGCGCCTGTCTGGAATTTTTTCGTCGGTTTGCATCGTTCTAGATGGAGCGTTTACACCTGGGTGTTCCCCAGACCCCACCTGCGCAAGGCTTGTTTTGTTCTATCCAAGTTTACCTTACCGAAGTGCGCACTGCACCAAGCTACCATGTATCGAATGACCGTTGATTTTCTCAAGGCCGGGGGGAAACGTAGTAGCACTCCTAGGTGTCTACCACGCAATCGGAAAATGGGACGATGCGATGCTCCTGACATGGCAGGGGTATCACAGGGCAACGATCTCGAGAGAGTAGGAGGAGGTAACGGTGAAGCCCATACCACAGCAGCGTTTTGGGTTGCACAAGGAAAGTACGCCGGCAGCAGCCACAACTTCAACTAACAGAGTATGGTGTGTAGGTCGTCTTCCGTGACGCATCATTCGGCTAGATAGACACTGCATAGGCTTGCCTCTGGGGTCCAGCCTCTTACAGTAGTTGTACTGCAGTGACTCTGGAGGATTGGCAGAGTCGTGACACCGAACCAAAACACCTTGTTGTGAATCACGTACTTTTCGTTTCGTTTCCCGGATTTCGATATGGAAATGTTCAAGCCATTGCACTAGACTTGAACCAGCCCTACTCGTCTATCTACACTGTGTGCTCCCCCCTGGTCTGTATTGACCCCCGACACTTTTCTCTATTCACGATTATGCACAACCCATTCCTTCACCTATGTCGTTGCAGGAAGTCTACTGGTATTCGTTCGTCCATCTCGGTCTGTCGCCGCGTGTATTACCCCTAGTGTGTGTCCCCCTCAATGCGCCCTACCTTAGAAAACCCGTCGTCTGCTTACTGTATTCTGTCTACAACACTACTCGATACGCGAACCGCTGCACAAACTACGAAAAAACAAGGAACCCTACGGAAACATTCCTTTCCACCTCGTGAGGAGCGGAGCGATGGTGGTCCGTTTCCAGATTTGTGCTTGGATGCCCCCCCCCCCCAACCATTCTCTCGCTCATCCACCACAAAATTGACGTCCCATCCCACCCTCTCATTCAATCTCATTCGTTTGTGAACCGACTCTCCCTCACACGAAACGGCGCCGAGGATTGTGTGCCCTCATTCAGTTCCCTTTTGAGTATACATCCCTCCTCGACTACCCTCACGCCTAACTGCGAAAAAAAATGAACCCTACAGAACAAGTGCGTACCTTTCGCCCACACGATCCAATGGCAACAGGTTTGGCTGTATTCCTAGATGGCAAGAGTTTCGTCGACTTCCTCCAAACCATTTCTGGGGGTCACACGCACACCTCGCTGTTGTTTGGTTGAATGGCGACAGATTCACTCGAGTGGATCTGTCTACATACATACGTCACTTTGCTCCTGAGATTATCCTCTCAGGGACAAGGCCAGGTCGGTGTGACGACGCGCACGGCGTTGTGACCAAAGTCCGCGATTGCCATCCTGCTTCCAGGTGTGCTCGGCATGAAAGCAATGGCGTTGGGTAAGTCCAGCCCAGCTTTCGATGCCTGTCCTCCATCTCCTTCGTACGCCTTGCCAGAAGATAGAAATTGTGTCCAAAGGCGAATGTTCAAAGGCACGATCGGGTGGGATGAGATACGCGTGTGGTTGCTCAAGAGTTCGAACGTTTCAGCGAGGAACAGGAACATGTTTACGATCGGTCGCCTCCGTGTTGTGCGTGCCAGTGTTGTATGAAAAACCAAGACCGACCAGAGGACGGGGGAAACGCCTACCGAGGAAGAGGGGTGAGAATGTCAGCCTTTCTCTGAGGTTTTGTCGAATGTGGTTGTGCCATTCCCCCCCCCCAAACGCCTACTACATATGGAAACCCCATGGGTTGTTATCGCGAAGTGTTCGATAGAAACATTCTCGTCTTTGAAATGCATCAAGCTTTGTTTGAAACACGGCACATGTTTTCGCTGCGGACAACGCCAACAACCCTTCTTCTTACAGGAGCCCCCCTCCATCACATATGCGGAGCCTACCCACGCACCGTGCTTCCCGTGCCAACGCACGTTGAGATAATCCCACTAGTAGAAATGTTCCGGATCTTCTCTCCCTGGAACTCGGCGACGTAGATATTGTCGTCAGCATCCACTGCGATGCCCTTTGGGTAGGCCAGCACCGCCGAGAGGGCCTTCCCACCGTCCCCTGAAGAACGTGAAACGCCCGAGTCCCACTTGCCGCCTAAAAGGCGTACCTGAGCGACGCCTCCCTGCCGGGGGAATATTCCCTTCAGCACAACACCCTGCTCGCGAATAGAGGAGGATAGATGAGGGGAGGCAAGTGAGGTGAAGCTAACGCGGGGGTAGCGAGGGATGCGGAAAGTGATGTGGCATCCTTGTGTCGGACGTCAGGCTGCGGTCAGGGCTGGCCGTCAACTCCTCTGGCGAACCTTGTCGGTTCATTTATCTGCTTGGACGCCAATACCAGTTGCTTCCTTCAGTACACGGTAAGGCTTTATGCGTGCTACTGTAGGGCTTAGGGTTTCCCTGAGGATTAATGTTACTCTCGCAGCGAAAAAACTCGTGGCCGCGGGGGACGTACCTGTACGTATGTTGTGAAGTAGACGATACCGATGCTATTGACGGCGATGTCCCATACCATGAGCGGCGCTCGAGTTTTCACGCCGTCCTTGAAGGCCATGTCCACCATATTCCATTCCATCTTGTCGGTGGGGGATGGTATGAACGAAGAAACGTCAAGGCAAAGTCATGTGGGCACTGACGAAACCGACGGGTGTTCTCCGTTGGCCGAAAACTGTACCACCCGTTTTGCGCGGCACCAAAGTAGCGTGGTAAAGAGCTAGCTGCAGGGCAGAAATTGCCTCCATCTCCGTTTTCAGTCACAAAAAAAACTTCCGCACCTCACTACCTAGGCAAGCAAAACATGTACAACGACAGCCACAGGTCGCTTCGCTGCCTTCACCGTTGGTGCATGTTGTAGATACTTGCCTCGCTCGTACTCTGTTAACAGTATGCCATGGTCTCGCATTACCAAAGCAAGAGGTTTTCGCAGCGCACGGCGAAGGAAACCTGACCTTTTGGCTGAAACTCCCGTCGGTTCCCTTGACCAGCCTCGCTATCCCAGTATGACCCCTTGTGACGTACACGTCTCCCGTGACGGGGCATACGGCGACGCCAGGCAAAAATGGACCGAGACCGGCGGCTAGGCTCACTGCCGAAGTCTCTGCGGTCCCAGTCTCCGAAGGCATTTCGAAGTAGGAATCGTACCTAGACACACCGGTATCACTGGAATCCTCGGCCCCAACGCCGCCGCCCGGGTTGATCTGCCGCCACGAGAGCAAGAATACTCCCCCACTCACGGCGGGCGCATCTTCCATGGTGAAGATGAGGTTGTCGTCGGCATCGATGGCCATTGCAAGGATTATACCGGTGCCGACGTAGACGACGGTATCACCATCGTTATTGTTGTCGGTGTCTACATTGTTGTTAGCACTAGAGGGAGAAGAGGACGCCGCCCACAGAATAGCATCGCCAGGACCCTGGCCTTTGCTGACGGAGTAAAACACATTTCCCTGTCGTCGGTACCAAGGGACAGGACGAGAACCGCAGCAGTTGGGTATGCTGCTCGATATCACGGGTGCCATCGATCGAGGCCACCTGAAGCGTGAAACAAAATCTGCAGACAAGAACCTTTCGCATTGATTCTGGTCACCGGGTTTAGAATTGCAAAAACGTGCGACTGCCGTTTGATTGTGCCGGTGGACAATCGTGACGCAATAGGTGTTATCGGGGGCATCTTTCCACCTCTTCTGTATTCCCTAGCACATGACTTGACATTTTGACGTTACCTGTGAGTCCATTGCAACCGCCTCGACTCTTGTTTCTGACGATGCCATCGTTTCGATTGTCCCTGAGGCGTAGTCCGGTTGACAGATGGTGGTAGAACTCTCCTCGGTCGAAGATGTCGAGAGTGGGGCAGCCGTGGACTCTTCGCCCTCGCCGCCTTCATGGACACCGTCATCTTTCGGAGAAGCTCCACTTGTTTCATCATGTCGGGGTGGAAATTCGGTGCCCTTTTCGTCATCCTGATTGCTGTCTGGAGACCCAGCAGGGTCTTCAGAGGGACGCGTGCCTGAATCTTCCGCCGACGGATTGTCTTGCGTGCGTGGAGTGGCTTCCGAGCTTGTCGTGTAATCGTACTGGCCAAAGCTGTATCGGCCAAAATACCCGCCCCAATACCGATCAAGGCCGGGACCAGTGATGCTGTCATCGTACTTCCCATGTCGATATTGGCCATCGTCGTACTCGCCATAGCTAGATTCCCCATCGTCGTACAGTTGACCACCCTCAGCGTCCCGCTGATCGGTCAAGATGTCGCCAGAGCTGTCCCTCGGTGTGTCGGATGAAATCTCATCCGAGTAGTAGGCAATCTCATCCGAGTAGAATTCATCCTCGTGGGAGTGCTCTTCGTCCGTCGGGTGAGCCGGAACGATCGCGTCGTCGCACCGGGTATGGCTAACGTCGCAGTTGCCCGAGCAGCAAGCCTGACGCAAGGGAAAATAGCATGAGGCGTTGAATCAACAAATACGAGACCGACGTCGCACGAACACAGGAGGGGGAATACAAATCGATTGCGCTTGTTCGTCTTCGACGTAGTGAAGCGGCTGCGGCAGCGGTATACGCCATTATTTCAAATGATGACTCGAACCATCGCGGTTGGCATTGGGCCGCTGGTGGGTCCAACAAGACGTGTTTCGGTAGCATCTCAGTGCCTCGTTCGGGCACGAAACGTAGCTTACCTTGTCCGAGTCACATGGTGTCGCAAAGGGTTTGCAGCAAACGGTGTCTCCGCCCGAAAACGGCGTTTTCTCGCATTGTGTCCGAAATCCAGCTTCCTGAAATCCATGGGGTCCATCGTGTGTTGGAGTGGTCACGAGCAAAATGACAGCGTGTGTGTAAGAAAATACGACGCGATATCACAATTAAGGTCCGGATGCCGTCAATGCTGGTGATCAAAGCTCTTTGGGGAGAAATACGCACTAAGAATCTGACAAGGAGATCTGGATGGCATTGCAAGCACGACGAAGCATCCTGGAAGCCGTCGTGAAGGGCAGCCCGCCATCTACAGGAACAGTTGCTAGCACAAAGCATACACAGACGCAGCTGAGCGCGCCAATGTGAAAGAACAACATGGAGGTATGGAAGCGGCAGATCGACTGGTGCACGTCACGTGCTAGTTACGATGCGTTGAGAATCCCAGACTAACTACTACCAGGCCACTGCCATTCTTGACACAACATATTGTAACTATATACCAAGAGTAGCGCTACGTACTTGAAGATGGCTTGGCACTCTCGACCTCGCATCCACAGCAAATATAAATATGACTGCTCTCTCGTACCGTTTGGTTCACTACTACAATGCGCAACAAGCAAATTAACTTGCTCACCACATACAACCCAGGGGTGCAATCATCAGTCATGTAGCATACGTCCAAGAGGGCAAGCGGACCGAAACTCTCTGTGTTGCGCCTTGATATCTTTCTGCCATCTCTCTTGCCAGCTTCGAGCCCTGCAGCACTCGGTACCCCGCGAATCATGCGGGCGGGTCCGCTTTGGTCGAGGCTGGCTTGTCTTGTGGCGAACATACGCGAGAGAGCCACACCGTGCGTCATGGGCAGCATGAGCGGCAGCACCACCAGCGGGGTGGCCGCTGCTGTCAGTGCCCGCATGCTTCTCAGAAGGTCTTCGCCTGTTTGGCAGTTCTGCGTAAACGTCAAAAGCGAGAGAGAGAATGTCGACTGACCCCCCTTTCGTGTCTCGCCTGTCTCTCGGCGTCAGCTATTGGGGATGGTTATTGACTCGCCGTTATCATGAAGAGAGTTCCTGCTTCTCTACACCGCTTGGCAACTGTTCGTGCGAACGCACTGCTGCCGACGTATGAACGGACGACAGTACAATGTCCGACAGCAGGGCAACCACGCCTCTCGTACCGACTTATACCAGAGAGAAGGGAGGGCCACAAAGCGTTTCAGGCGGACAGCGCGTACATCCTTGATGTGACCGAAGCCGGAAGGAGAGTCGCCGCTCGAAAGGTCCGGGTGTTGGTTAATCGCTCGTGACTGGTCAGAAATTCACCAATCGGAGACCTCGGTTCAAATTTGATTTGTACGGCAGTTGCGCCGCGTCATAGTTGCACCGCGTCTTTGGTGTGAGGCGGAAAGGCGGTTGCGATTTGTATCAGAGACATAGACACACCATACCACTTCTAAACAAACATAGCACCTTGCTGCCCGATGTACCTTCCACTTCTTCTGTGGAGCTCCTCCTGGTGCTGCTGTTGCTGACGATATGGTCTACGCAGCAGCGTGCTGTTTTTTTTGTATCTTCTGTCTTCACTTCAAATCAGCGCTCACAGCACTGCTGTGGGGTGCCGGTTACTCCAACCCCGTGGACACACAGAAGGACCACTCTCTACCTTCGCCTTCTGCGGGACGTGGCTTTCGATTTTCATGCGAGAAGAGTTCAGCGCACTCTTCCCTCTGTGCACGCACGAACTACATAGCGCTATTTAGCCACTAGTAGACTAGCTAGGTCAGGAGCGGAAGCGAGAGAAAAACTCACCCTGCAAGAAAAGCTCGCTTATTACACTATATATCAAGTACCGTTTACACCGGGATTCTAACCCCTGACCTGTAGAAGGTTTCGAGGATACCAACTAGACCACCGGGGCGACCGGTGGTCCAGTTTATTATCGCTTCTCGGAGAGGGTCCAGAGTAAAATATTCCAGGAACCAGGAACCAGGAACCTGCGTGGGATGGCCATGCAGCCTTTTGTACTCAGCTTGTATTGCTGCCGTGTTGGGCACCGCCACAAAGATCACTGCATTGTGAGTGATGGACACGTCCCGTTCAGTCTACTCTAGGGCAGAACTGTAGTGATCCTGATTCGCCACCACCGGGAGCAGGAGGAGGAGGGGTGCCACATCACCACATACGCGGTTTCTCATTAATAACCGGCCCGCGAGGTGCTCTTGGACTTCGAACGTCCCTTGCCACTCTTGTCCACACCGACCAGCGTCTCTTTGTGCTTCGGTCTGGTGTCCAACATAGGAACCCGCCAAGTTGATCGTTTTCAGCCCCCAAAACTAATCTAATGGATTCACACTATTTTTCACGCGCCTGTGGTTCCACACACATCGCTTGATTCCGTACACCACCTTACTGAAACTCAAGGTGCGCCTCCTACTGGCTTAAGCTTCGTCGGCCCTCGCGTTCAACGGTGCTTCATCCACCTCTATTCCTTGTTGAAAGGACGCAACTCGTTCTTGTTGTCGAGATTTCAGATCTCTTCTGTATTGGCATAGCGCAAGCAGTTCGTACTGTAGCGAGCTCAAAACATGCTATTATAATATTAGTGGTTCTACCATCCTCAAACTCTCACAATGCACAGAGAGACACATGCTACAGTATCGTTGTCATCCGATCCCGGTTTGGCACAGACTTGATCGTCTTTCATCCCTTGTACGCGCCACCCCTGGTGATTAAAATGCACACGATCAGTGACGCGCACACGCCGTGCCGCACCCGAGACGTTCGACCTCTGCGTGGTCTCAGACGTGATCTTCGTCCTCATTGGCGGCCAAAGAAAGATAGGTTGTCCTTGACGAAGGCTACGGCCGCCGTTTCGAGAAGGCAGCACACTTCCGCGACATCTTCCTTGCCATCGCCATGTAAAACCACTTGTGCAGTATAACGCGCCGCTTTGTTGCAAGAAGCAGACATTGTTTCTTCTCTGGGCGCGTACGGGCTTGAAAGGCTTGCCTTGTCATCCGTCGGGCAGCAACTGCCAGATCCGGCAATCTCGTTGAGATTTTCAGTTTCTCGGGGGTCTAACGACAACGCAAACAGCTGCGCGTGCAGTATCTGCCGGCCATTAAACGTACGTGCGGGGGAAATCGGTTGACGGGCGGCAATGTTTCTGAGCTGTCACCTGTCGCTGTCGTGGGGGTGGTATTGCAGAAAGGCGCGCACTAGTTATTTCGGCGAAATCGATTCACACGTAGTGCGCTCATAAGCGTATTGAGAGTGCACAGTGTGACACGGGCTTTTGCCTTGTATATTGGCAGTTTTTTCCAATACTCATGCACACCCGTGTTGTACGTGTACGAAAGGTTTCCAGAACTAGAATCAATCTCGCACTGACGGTTTGCCAGAGCTTGGTAGCAATCTTGGGCCGTAGACATTACATGCACGAATTAGCGGGCGTTCGCAGCTTCACATTGCTACGTCAACTGCGGTCGCTGACACAGTCCACGCAGCGCCATTCTTGTTAATGACGGCATGGAAAGCCACGGCCCGCAACACGTACCTCAACGTGCGTTTGATCGTTCCGTTTCTTCAAGTCGTACGCGAAGAGCCCCTTCCAGTCACCACCCACAACGGCGAGAACCTTCTTGCCGAAGTGCGTCGAACTGACCGCGCATCTCCGAAAATCCGGACCGAGAATACTGTCCCCGATCAAACCCGACCCAACCGCAGAAAATTCACTTTCTCTTTCACCCCTCGGTCTCGCGTCAGGCGTAGACCTTTCGCCACGTTTGCGATTGGAGACCTCATTGTGTCCCCTTAACCCGTGCGGCTGTGAAAATGAATCCCCACTCCTAGCCTCATCTTCCTCGGAGGGGTTAGTCTCCTGGAGCCGAGACGGGAGCATCGCCTGCGGATTCCACAAGCCCAGTAGGTCCAGTAAAGTCGGGGCGATATCCGCCTGCATTCCAACCCGGTGTAGGGTTTGTCCAGGAACGATTCTGGCGTCTCCCGGCGGGGCCGTGAGGAAGAAGGGCACAATGACCCCTTCCTGCACACCAATGGAAACGAGGAATGTGGATGAGTTAACAGATCCCGAGAAGCGCCGAAATCTGGGCTAGAGGTTGGTGGTATTGCGATCCCATTGATATCAAACGGATTATGGCCGCTAGCCTGCTAGCCAATCCTATAGGTCGAAGGGGGACGCGAGTATCTCGTCACCAACAAATACCCCACCAGCCCTTCCTGCTATAGCAACAAAATGCACCTGGTAGACGTTGTTTCCGTGCTTGTCGAAACCGTGCTCGTTGAAAGCCTGTGGAGCGGGGAACCAGATACACGAGTCACAGGCGCGATCAGTCGGGATTTGTTTTTCGTTTGAGAGAAGGGACCAAAACACGCCACTGCGCCACGCAATCCTATCACAAGGTGGGTCCTTGGATCGCTCGAGTCGGGACATGCAGTCGCACACATCGCAAAACGTAATAATCGGTACCGGGTGGCAGACCAACGTATGCATCCCAAAACAGTGAAGGCTGAAGACACTAAAGCGGAATTGGCCAGGAAGGAGCGGCACAATCAGTCCATCTTTCACGACACCGACCAGTGTCTCGAGCGCAGGACTTACCTCGCCGTGATCGCCGACGACGACTACGTATGTGTTGTCGGACAGGCCGGTGTTATCCAGCTGCTTAAACAGTCTCTCCAAAAACAGATCCTGGTAGCGCAGCGCGACGCGGTACTTGTACTGAAGAGAGTTGGTGTCCGAGGCCTGGCGAGGTAAGAATCCAGGGGAATTCAGTGGGCAAGAGATGCACTCTCGTTCAAAACAGCAACCACGATACAGTTTTCTCGCCACACCGAAACGCAACAACAATTTCCACGACGAGCCTTTCTACTCGTGCATAAACAACATTGGTGCCCCTGGCAAGCCCGGTACGAAGCCTGTTTCAACCAACGAGACGTCGGCCGCGGTACATTTTCCACTTTTCACAAATGCCCGGGCCTCGTTTCTTGCAGACGCGACGTAGAAGGGCACCACCCTGATAAAGAAAATGCCAATATTCCTGACCCGCCTAGGGACGAAACTAGACAGCGGTGGCAGGTGCGAAACCAGTCGACTCAAGCGATGGCAGAAGTACGAAGGAAAATCGTCCTCAGATTGCTGCGTGATTATGTGCAGGTGCGAGCCCCTTGGCGCTGGGGTCATCTAGCTATTACCCGCCTGATGTGGCGCTCGGATGCGTACCGATATCCAACGAACATCCAACGTCGTCATCCAATCGCTTTGTATCAGCACCACAAATAGCTTCCAGCACTCCTGCTCTCTGCAAACTCTAGAGAAACGTGGCATTGATGCGGAACCGGGTCTCCACTTCAAGACCAGCTTCCCCGGACGTGTGAGACCAACGGGTGTATCGGCCGCTAACGAGAAGTTGAATGTTTTTCGAGGCATGCGACTCATGACCTGCTCCCAGGGCCCAAAGTCTTGCGGTAAGAAATCCGAAGGTACGTCATGATGATGATGAGGCCCCACCTGACGAGGGGAGCAGGTACAACACGGACCGGGAAATAGCGGGGTGTACCAGCTCAACACATCATTGTCGCATATCGTCGTGATTTGCAATCATTCGGTCTCAAAAGCAGCCGTCAGCTCGCTTTCATCCCACGGTGTATAGCGGCATGCACGTCCGACCCTTGATCGCAGCCACAGCCTGTTGGCACCCTCCAACCCTCCAACCCTCCAGCTTCTGACGCGGTGCTACTAAGGACGTCCGAGCCATGGAGTGTGGTTGCAAAAACATGACACGGTAAAAGTTGAGGGATCTGTAAACGACACCCACGGATGGATATGCCGGCCTCCACGTGGCTACATATGCTGGTTCGCAACCAAACACAAGAGAGATGAATACTTGGGCTACTT